TGGCTTTTGAGAGACTTTGAAATTTGAAGAGATTAAAGGCTCAGGCAGAGATTACTTTTTTCTGCTTTACAACTGACTATATCAACTGAACATTCTTAAGAAGGCAGCTGAAAAACATCCAGTGAAATGTCACTTGTTGGTGGGGCTGTATCTTCAATTTTCTGAGGGAACTTTAAACAGCATCAATAGTGCAATATTTCGTTTCTAATCAGAATACAGGCAGTTAAATCACAAGTAATCCTTTCTCGTTTGCTTGATGAAGGTCAAACACCGGACGACAAGCATAGCATCACAGCTAGAACAACTCACAGGTATCTCAAACCGGATGTGCTGTGTTCGGTTCAAAACAGCAGGAGCTGTAGTTGGGCGCCACGGAGTGACACCGCCAGTGTGCAAACATCCATAGAAAACAATGTGTTTTAATTTTAAAGACGTGACGCGGCGCTTCTTGTCTGGTGTGCGACCACCTTTAGAGTTTGTCTGGATCAGGCGATGTACATCACTGACGTTGATCTTGAAGGCAGCAAGTATAGAATGACATCTTGACAGCTGACAGTTCACTGGAAATGCTCAGGCTGGCTAATCTAAAACCAGGAAGTTACCAGGCATATGGGTCAACTAAGACATTAAAGGCCAGATTTACTAAACAGGGCAAATTAGTGCGAGAGCACAATCTTATAAAAGCTCTGATGGAAGTGGAAATTTCTGTAAGTGATTCTACTGACAAAGTGTGAATGAAGAACACAGATGCTGCAGCTCATTTCCATAATCACCAACATGGCACATAAATTCCGATCAATTCCTTGTGTGTAAATATACTCTGTAATAAAGCTCTTTCTGACTTCTAAAGCAGAGCCGAGGTGCAACATGGGTTAAAGACATGCTGTTTTTAATTGTTAAATAATGGTGCAAATACCAGTAAACTGACTACTGCAAACTTTAGTAAATCACATTTAGTGATTTATTTAAATACTTTCCTCCCATAAATTTTGCGTCTGAAAGGGAAACTCCTACAAATGCATATGCAATTAGGTCAGCCACAAAAATAACTGTGTCCACGTCTTTTCAGTGCTAATGTTTCACGGTATGTCTTTAGTAAATCCTGACAGTAGTTTTTTAACACCAAAAGAGGGTTTGCCCTGGGAAAAGCTGTTAGTAAATCTGGTCCTAAGTTGCTCAATAGGTAGCAAAGCTGTTCTGGACTTGAGTTGATGAAGGAAGGAGAAATAGTTCATTATATACCAGAACTAATATGATCTTCACTTACTACAAACTGAAACAGTCTTTTGTGTCATGAAAAACCTGCATCATTTCCAGTGTGTGTATAAGAGCACATATCTTGTTCAGACTCACTGTGTTTGACAATTCTGACATTCCGCATCTTCTTCCAGACTCTGAAGGGCAGGTTGCCCAAGTACCGTGACACATGAATCAAAGCTCCAGAAGGAATCTGTGGATCCGGCTGTGAGATCTGGACTCTGCAAGAACATTCAGGATCAGAACTGCAGTGGCTTTGGATCAGAAGCAGAGAGAGCAGAGACAGCAGCAGATCACTCACCTTTCCATCGTGACTGGAAACTCCTGCAGAACAAACACACCATTGATCATCAACAACTCCAACATCCATCAATGGATGATCTGAAATCAGACCTTCAGAAAGCAGACGTCACTGGCTTTCATCATCTCCTCTGTTTCTTTGATTGTGTGTGAAAGAGCTGAGATGTGTCTGTTCATCTCCTCCAGCTTCTCCTTCATCATCTGCTTCTTCTGCTCCTCTTCCTCTCTCAGTGCAGTGATTGTAGCTTCTTCTTCATCTCTGAGAAACTGATGAATCTTCTCAAACTGCTGTTTAATCTGACACTCTGTGCGCTCAGCTTGAGACTGAAATCAAATCACATTCACTTCAATCATCTTATACTAGAGCGACATGAAGAGTGAGCGGGTAAACGTGGGTTAGTTAACTACATCTTTGACTTTCTGAAATACTAGTACTGTAGTAGTAAATGTTCCGTCTCTGTAGGTGAAAATACAAATGAATCTCATTAGCCTCTCCTCTCTTCACGAAACATGGAGAAAAAAAATTTTTTTTTAAAAATGGCTTTTTAATAAATACATCACATGATATCATTTAAAAGCACGGCAAATGAACTTTCAAGAAACCTAAGCCACTAAAGCATTTTTGCTTTTTTTTAATGTACGAACTGAAACTTGATTTATTGGTAGACTAGTATTTATGTGAAAAAGGACTTAATGGGGTTTGAGATTAAAACTCACTAAAATGTACTTAAATCCTAAATATTTTCATCTTCACATTTTCTTGACTTCCCTCAGGTAGATGCATCAACAGTTGGACTTGTGAATATTAAAGGGGTGGCTGACAGATTTTTTTCTAGGCTTGATTGTGTTTATGGGGTGCAGTCTAACATGTGTTAATGCTTTGTTTAAAAAAAAA